GCAGCATTCAGGAGCCGGGATCGAACCTGCAGCGCTCCGACTGCTGGACGACCCGCTCTACCTCCTGAGTTACTGCTATGTAGAATATAACCTGTTTGTCAGCAGGATCTGAGTCTTGTCTTAGTGGACCCTCCAGTCCATTCTGTACACACATCCCTGGACAACATCCCAGCCTCTTGGTTATGGCGTTCCATCTACACCCTGCCAGCACGTGTAGCACAACCTGCTTCTATGGGGCAACAGTGGCGCAGGAGTAAGAGCCCCACTCTGAAAGGTGCTACAGCATTGGAGGCCCTTTACTGTTTGGGCAGGACTGTCTGTAACTTGGCTCCTGTCTGGTGTGGTGGCTGATGACTGCTTCAGGCTGCAACCTGAATCAAACTTTGTGATGATCTGGTTAAGGAGGTTCAGGCCTGCATTGGACACACACGTTGTTTTTCCTCAGGACACGTGTGTGTTGATGTCCTCTGTAAACGACTTATGACCTGATAAAACATCGATCCGGGTAGACATCTGACTTGCTACAGCCTACCCCTTCTGAGTATTGTGGAAGTGAATGTTGAAAGTGATGTCTCTGATGAGTGAGTATGTAATGTACACCTGGACGGCCGCTATCCAACATGTTTTAGTTTCAACCCTGCTTCAACACACCTGGTTTCAGTCAGCAGGTGATTAGCAGCCTTCTGACGAGCGGCTGCACAGGTGATTCATCCACTGAAGCTAGTGTGTTGGGGAAGAGAAACCATTAAAATGTGCTGGAAACTGGTCCTCCAGGACCAGGATTGAGAACCACTGATTTACACACTTCTGGTTCATACAGCAGTGTAGCTATGTAGATTTTGGACTTGTTTCCCCCTTCCCATCTAAAGGACACGCTCGATTACTGTAACAACTCTAAAAACAGTTTGATCAGATAATCTTGCCATGTGTGGTGTAGTCTGCTCAGAAGGACTGCTCGGATCACAAAGCGAGGATGTCAAAAGTGTTGGGTTGTCTTGGACAAACAAGCGTGCTGCTTGTTGAATGCGACATGTAGCCAATCAGAAAGTGAGGTGATGGAAGCACACAGCTCACTCCTCCACCATGTTTGTTTGCTGCAATGTCACATTTGATCTTGCAAGAGTTCCTTTATGACCAGGAATAATGTGTAAAACGGGTGTGTCTAGTGTGCAGTTTTGCCCTGTAGGACCACATCTGGTATATACATTTTATTTTTTTCATCACCACATGTGTGGTCCGTCATGTTAAGTAAATCGCCCAACAATCTAAAAATCTGTGTTGAGAACAGGTAATGTGATGAAAAGACCTTTGGTGGTTCAGATGGTCAGCAGTCAGTCATGCCTACAAAACACACAGAAGGTGTAGCTTTTATAGAGCTCACAGAGCTGCTGCTGCTGCACCCACAGCCAGTGAGTGTCTGCCTGTGTGGGCTCTGACACTATCAGGAGTGCAGAATGTGCATGCTTGGATGCTTGGATTTTCTTTGAGTAATCACTCAGAATCGTCCCATTTAGACTCCACTCTCAGAACACATTACTGATTGTTTTTTGCATCAGAAGCTTTGCACTGCTGCACCCAAACAAAGCTGCATGAAGGCAGCAGATCATGGAGGTAAGAAAAGTCCTAAATCTCCAGCTCACGTGTGCAAAAACATCCCATCTCCTCTCTGAACTCCTCCTGATCACCCAAAAACTAAATGCACCAGGCTGAACGCTTTTGGAGCTGGAAGTTTTGTGTATAATTGCCTCATAAAGTATTCATGTGCAGCATGTGAAGAAGCTGTTTACTACATGCACGTTGAGCAGACACAACCTAGCATTAGAATTCAGCTAGAGCTGTGCTTGTGTTCATCTGAGGAGTGAAATCGCTTTATGCTTTTAGCTCTTCACCAGAGTCATTATGTGCTGGACTCTCTTCACCTGCTGTAGTTGTCTGCAGGATTGTGCTCAGCTGGTGAGAGGTAACTTGTTGTGGCCTGAAGACAGCTGCTGTTCTAATGTCTGTAAAGAAAACTTGATGTTTATGACATTTAAAGCATCATTTAAGAGCTTTGTTTAAGAAACAAAAACAAAAGTTGTTGCAACGCTCTTTTTATTCACAGGAGGATTGATTTCAGACGTGCCACGCAGTCGAGCAGGTTCCTCCTAGTCACCTGTGAGAGATCTTGGCTCTGAGTTCTCCCACAATGAGCCCAGTAAGGTTATTGGTCATATTTGCTGGTGCTTTGTGTGCCTGGACTGACAACCACAACATTAGATACACTGGTGATGCTCATGATGCTGACCTGGATCTGAAAGCCCCAGAATAAACCACGAACGTTGATCCGTAGAGCAGATCCCAGATGCTGCTGATTGCTCACACTAACCCTTAATCCCTTACCCCGGTTTCACAATGCAAGCATCAGCGGAACGGAACGGCGGCGAAGCGGCACCGCTTCAAATAGAATCCAGTTATAGTCTATGGAGTGTTTCAAACCAGCTGCGGCGCGGCAATTTCCAGGTGCGTCCCAGAAGCGTCGCACCGCGCCGCTAAAGATAGGATTGAGTTCTATTTTTTCTGCGAGCCGCTTCTGTGACACGTCAAATTCCGCGGTTCACATAGTGCGAGACAGAAAACCACACAGTTTCAGTGTAAAATCCCTGGTTATTTTCAAAATAAAATGCAACGTTGCGATGTTATATATAACTTATGTCAGCACGTGTGACCGCAGTTTTGTGTACCACTAGTTTCTTTCGAGAAGCGCAACGGTGTGATTCCTCGCGGGGGTTGTGATCTCTCGATGAGGAAGGTGTCGGAAGTCTCGAGGGATTTTAGAATCTCGCGAGTATAGCGAGGCGCAGCGAGGAAGCCGTGCTGCGTCCAAGACTGAAAAGGACCGCTTTGAAGTTCACGAGTGAGCCGCTCTGCTGCTGTTCCGTTCCGCTGATGCATAACGTGTGAAACCGGGGTTAGGGTCACGGGTGTCTGACTCCAGGCGAGAGACAGGGAACACCCTGGACAGGTGTCCAGTCCATCACAGGGACAAGCATCAGTCACCCCCAGAGACAGTTTAGACAGACAGAGACATGCTACCTCAATGAAGACAGGCAATATCCTGGATTTGAACCTGCAACCTTCTCATCATGAGGCAACAACATGCTGCTTAACTGATGATCAAGAAGTGTGACCACCTCTGTGGGAGCAGGAGGTTTAGGATCTGGGGTCTGGACCATACAGGTGTGTGTTTACAGCGGAGACCTTAGAGGAGCGAGTTGAACGGACCCTGATCCGCGAGTCTGCTGGTGGTGGCTGCTCAGAATCTGGACCGCTGCAGTCCCATCAACACGTGGAAGTGGGCGTTAGATTCGTTGCCTCTCATTCATTTAACTTTTTCTCAAGGTGAACAGGGAGACAACATCTACCCTTCACTTCAGTGAATCCTGAAAATAGCCCAGAAGAAGACCCACCTGACTCCATCAGCTCTCCAGTCTAACAAACACCAAGCTCACACATCTCAGCGTGGCTGTAGCTCTGACCTGAATGCAGCCCTTGGACAGATTGATGCTGAAATGTGTTGAGTATCTCATGTGCAAAAAGAGCTTGAAAGACATTAAATAAATCAGCCAAAATCAATGTTAGTAAACCTCCAGCAGATGTGCTGAAACAGAAATGTTGCAGCCGCTTTAATCTCAGCAGCACCAGGAGGCTCTTTAGTGAATGTGCGATGCTCAGCAACCTTCTGCAAATGGCAGCCAGCGAGTTGCATTTTAATAACGGATGCAGCCTGGTGGTCTCGGCACAGAGACCTCCAGGCTGGAGGGAGATTAATCTGGAAAAATGTTAATGGTATTTCAAACAAATGATCCTACAAATGCAGGGAAGTTTTCATGGGAACGGTGTGGCGGGGTGGCGCTGGAACTTCTGCAGAGCTTCGGATGCCTGCTTCACGGGGAGGACGTGACACCAGACAGATTACAGCCCTGATATTAGCTGTCATTTCTCTTCGCGGCCTACTTAATGGCCCCAGAGTGCATGAGAAAATTAACTTTTATCAGAGCTAATCTCCTTTTGTCTGAGTCTAATTACACCTCCGTTTACGGCTACTGTGCACTTAAGTGTGCCGCCTACTGTAATTTCACATCCTGTAAGGGCAGCCGCGGACATAACAACAGAAAATAGCTTGATGGTAATTAAAGCGATTGTTGCAACCCTATCCATGTTGCGGCTGGCCCGCTGCGCTGCAGTTAATAGGTGAGAGATAAAGTGTATGAAATTATAGATGCATGCTTGAAAGGCTGGCAATTATGTGAAACTGAAGGAGGCTTGAGGAAGGGACTATTAATCAGAAGAGTGCGGTTTAAATTTTTCTGTGGTGAAATCCCATTAACAGGCATTCTGTGAAGGTGACAGTGATGCTTTTGTGCTCAGAGAAATTGGCTGTTTCACATTCAGACAAGGGCGCAGACACACGGAGGGCTGATTCCAGATTCCAGCTCACAAAACCGGACTCAGCAGCAGATTAGTCACTGGATCAGCTCCCATTAATCCTACCATGAGGAGGAATGGCTTTGGTCTGAGCTTGTACCTGCAAGAGATCTGTTTTTTAATCTGAAGCAAACAGCTGAAGCTTCATTTACCGTTCATGAATGATCATTTACTCCTCAACCTCTAAAGCCTGAAAGTCTGCAAAAGGAATTTGAAAGTATGTTTGAGGAACCTAAGGACTTTTCAGATAGCCAACTGACAAGAAAATTAATTAGCTGCTGCTCTGATAATTAATTAATTACAATTAATGAAGCCAAACAGTCTCCTGTTGCAGCGATCAGATGTGATAATTGGCCTGTCGTTTTTATAGCATTATAACTTACATTTCCTTCCACTAATTAGACATAAAAGGAACTCATTAGGAATTTATTTTTTATTTACGCGTCTTTTCTTCCACTCCAGAGGTGAAGCAGCTGACAAGTGGGTAGTGGAAGCTGTGTGTCTGCTCTGAGACGTTTCTGTCTGCTTTCTCCCAGATGCCTGCCTAACCTGTGTGAACACGGAGCTCGCTGCTCTCAGACGTGGAGCTCCTTCTCCTGCGACTGTTCGGGAACGGGATACTCTGGAGCAACGTGTCACAACTGTGAGCACTTTCATTTCTCCACCTCGTCTCACAGCTGCCGCACACGCACACACACACACACACACACACACACACACACACACACACACACAACCACACACATTTGATGCAGCACACACGTCTGTCTGCCTGTCACTTTGTGTAGCTGAGAGGCAGAGCAGAAAGTTGTCCTCCTTCAGCGAGACATGACCTCACCTACTGATGTTATTCTCACATTCCTGCTTTCCTTTCCCTTCCTCCCTCAATATCCTGAAATAGCCCTCTACTTCAGACTGTGCACACAGGAGTTTTTTTTTCTATCCAGGTGTCAGTTTTTGACGTCGTCTTGATATCTGCAGAAGGGTGTTGTGAGAGAGAGAGAGAGAGAGAGAGAGAGAGAGAGAGAGAGAGAGAGAGAGAGAGAGAGAGAGAGAGAACCCCTCTGGCCTAGAATGCTATCTTGTTTGTATGCAGGCTGTGGCTTTTGGAGGCAACATGGCAGATAGGAGCATCGGCTGCATTAAAAATAGTTTCTTTTGTCAAACTCTGCTTTTGTATCTACTAGTCGGAAATGAAACCTGAGAACTTGACACGGACCTCCAGGTGGTTCTGATGTTAAAAGCTGCTATAGCAAATCTATAAACAAGCTAGGTTTTGAACATAAACTCGGTCACAGAACACACACCCCTCCACTCAAGTATCTTCACTGGAACCACGTCCACCAGAACCGGAAACCCACATTACCCATACATTTGCATTCTTAGTTTACAGTACTCATCTAAATCGAGTATAAAATAAAACCAGTTTCGTTGTCCGGGGATCGGACCGCCAAGGCTCCCACCTTTGTCTGCCACCCGATCCACACTGCACCAGACCCTTCATGTTCCTCCTGCGGGTGGTGGGTCCACAGTTGGATGAGCCCATATATCCGGTTCGGGCTGGGCCCGGCCGGGCCCCATGGGCGAAAGCCCGGCCACCAGGCGCTCGCTCACGGGCCCCAACCCCAGGCCTGGCTCCAGGGTGGGACCCCGGTAACCCTCCGGGCCGGGTACTCCGACTCTTTGATTGTACATCCATGAAAGATCCTCTGAACCGTTCTTTGTCTCACCCTTCACCTAAGACCAATTTGTCATGGGAGACCCTACCAGGGGCACAAAGTGCCCCAGACAACATAGCTACTAGGATCATTAGGGCACTCAAACTCCTCCACCATGATAAGGTAACGGTTCAAGGAGGTCCTACCTCAAGTGGAAGAGTTTAAGTTATCTCGGGGTCTTGTTCACGAGTGAGGATAGGAGGGATCGGGAGATCGACAGGCGGATTGGTTCGGCGTCTGCAGTGATGCGGACGCTGAGCCGATCTGTCGTGGTGAAGAGGGAGCTGAGCCAGAAAGCCAGGCTCTCGATTTACCGGTCGATCTACGTCCCAATCCTCACCTATGGTCATGAGCTTTGGGTAATGACCGAAAGAACGAGATTGTGGATACAAGCGGCCAAAATGAGTTTCCTCCGTAGGGTGGCCGGGCTCAGCCTTAGAGATAGGGTGAGGAGCTCGGACATTCGAGAGGGACTCAGAGTAGAACCGCTGCTCCTCCGGATCGAAAGGAGTCAGTTGAGGTGGTTTGGGCATCTGGTCAGGATGCCTCCTGGACGCCTCCCCGGGGAGGTGTTTCGGGCATGTCCTGCCGGCAGGAGGCCCCCGGGTCGACTCAGGACACGTTGGAGAGGTTACATCTCCAATCTGGTCCAGGAACGCCTTGGGGTCCTGCCGGAGGAACTGGTGGAGGTGGCCGGGGACCCCGATAAGTTCAATCTACCTAAAGAAGCAATGTGGCAGGCATGTGAAGGCACAGCTAACACCAACACTGCATGGCTCACACACCCATAGCTGCTGATAGCCCATGAAACTGAACACACAAAACACACAATTAGAGTGGAACAGCACATTCCCTTGACCAATCTCACTTATGCTTTGTTTATACTTGAAGCGTGTTTAGGGTTAAGTCTGCACGGCTATGCGGGGCCAAATTCCATCATTTTAACAACCACACCCCTCCACATGGCCTCCGCACGGCCCAAAGTTTTCGCACCCAGGAAATTCTTTAACCACGTGGACGATCCTGCGTGGAAAAACATGGTGGACTGGCAACTGCTTGTAATGGAGGAGGTTCGTAAGTACAGACATCGTTATGATTTGGCCTATAAAGATCACCGTGATCAAAATATTGTTAATAATCGTCACCACAGAATCTCCTCTCCCCTAGCGTAGCTGCTACTTACTAAAAGGCAAGATTTGTGGAGGTTCTTTTGTCCGGAAAGAAGGATTTGAATTTTGCTGAACTTAAAGCCATTTCCCTCTGTTTTTCTCCGTGTCTGGTTCAATGACTTCATTTTCATGAAGCGCATTTGTAGTCCTGGACTTATTTTCACACAAAATCTAAAATTGCGTTTCCCCCCGTTCAAAAATAAACAACTTCTTGGTGTCAAAAAGCTTCTTTAAAATTCACGGACGTCGTGTGTGTACTCCATGGCTCATAACAAGCAGAATTAGAAAATAGCATTTTAGGCCCCGTTGACTTGCACTAATTTTTTCGTTCTTCTGGGGACCCGTGGTCCGGAGGTAGGTGGGCGTGACAGTCTCCCTATTGCTATCACAGTTGGAAACGATAAGGACACAGTGAAAAAATTTTGCAAACAGCAGTGATTTCCACTTCTATTTTTGTGTGGCGTTGGATGAATGCTGTAGAGCCCCATGCTGCCCCCTGCAGTCTGGGAGAATATTGGCTCACAGCGAAGAAAAGCCGTCTATTTATCAGACACATTTTAAGGTGATGTAAAGATGAATAGAATAAAATAGAAACATAAAATGAAACATTAATGTTGGGCTAATACAGCCAGCCTGTCACTCCTCGCTTTTTGTAAAGCTTATTGTCCACATAAAGCTTATCCACCGAGATGACAGCCCTCTTCCCATCCTGGATAAACTTTTTGCGCAGCGGAAAGAGGACTCTGCGCTGATCCAGGATTTCCTTAGGGAACTGGTCATTTATGCTGAAGTATTTTCCTTTGATCTCTCTACCGTGACTTTTAACAAGATCCTTCTGCTTAAAATGTTCAAATTTAGCCACGATGGGACGAGGTCTTCTGCTGTCCACTCTTTTAGCTCCAAGGCGATGTACCCGGTGAAAGGTGATGTTTTTTACCGTTTCTTCGGGTATCTTCATTTGGATCGGGAGAAAGTTTTTTGTTGTTTGCTCGCAGTTCTCTGTCCCTCCTGTCTGCTCCGGCAGGCCTGCGAACACAAATTATCCCTCATGTTACTGGCCTGAAGGTCCAAAACAGTCTCCTTCAGAATCTTGTTGTCCAGGGTGATCCGCGTCATTCCCTCTTCCAGGGAAGAAACGGACTCCCCCGAGATGCGTTCTCAGCGGCGAGCCGCTCCACCTGCTCCTGGCTGAACTCCAGAGACTGACGGAGGTTCTGAAACTCCTGGTGTAGAACCTCAAGCAGATGAAGACGCCCCTCAAATCCCAGAAGCCGTTTATCTATAGAATCCAATAATTCTAATATGTTCTTATGGGGAGATGCGGCCTCAGGCGAGTCCTGAGGACAGCTCCTCTTGGTCCCAGGTGTTTCAGGCTCAGCTGCTGATTTCGTCGGACCCATAACGAAAAACTAAAAAACTTTGTCAATATAATTTAGTAAACTTTCTAAATTTTCTTCACTTACCTCCAGATTGAGTGAGCTATACTTACCAGATTATTTTTTGCATTGTCAGTAAATACATTAGGCGAAAATGTGTCTTAATTGTTTGTGGATGTTTGTTAATGAGCTGCCATCAGCTTCAAACGATGCCGTGTATCCGGTGATCGTCCGTCAGTGCATGCTCAGCCTGTCCTGGCTGGCCTGACTGGCTGTATTAGCCCAACATCAGGTCAGACATGTATTATTCTTATCAGGATTCACTGGGTTTGATCACATCAGGATTAAACAGCTGCTAAATCCGTTTTCTAGATGATGAGATCACCTGTTCATCACCACCTCACACCCCTATCACCTTTTCTTTTTAGTTCTTTCTTCTTTTTTAACCTGTATCTGTATTTTCCTTTCTTCTTTACCTGCTTCTGTGCCTTTACACCTGTATGGCACAACCACACAGCTCACCAACACTGCATCAGACTCGGCACACACACACACACACACACACACACACACACACACACACACACACACACACACACACACACACACACACACACACACACACACACACACACACACACACACACACATATATATATATATTAAATCCACAGCACAATATCATACTTTTTGAGTCAAATAATACAACCACAAACACTGTTGGATCTATATTATTATTATTATTATTATTATTATTATTATTATTATTATTATTATTATTATTATTTACTTTTCTGTTATTTATTAACATACTATTTTATACATTTAGATACTTATTCCATCTTATTCACATGAAGGTGTCATATTTTAGCTACTCACACACACACATCTATGGGTGCACTAAGGTTTGTCTCATGGAACATACATGGAGCTGGCTCTAGAGAGAAGAGATTAAAGTTTTTTGATCAGCTAAAGAGAGTGCAAGCAGACGTAATATTGTTACAAGAGACATAGATCTGCCACATCTGCAGATGAACTTAAAACACCTGAGTTTCCCAGCATGTTCTCTGCCTGCTATAACTCTAGGCAAAGAGGTGTAGCTATTTTAATACACAAAAACATCAATTACCCTCCATGCATTCATAATTTTTCTCTGTACTCTCTGAACACTTGGACTGTCCACATATACTTGGAGGCGATTTTAATTTTTGGATGAACTCCTTAACAGACAGGTTCAGTACAGCTAGGACTCAGTGCAATTGGCAATCCACTAACACAGTTAAACAGTACATGAGTGATTATGGGCTTTGTGATGCATGGCGATCTCTTCATCCTAACCGTAGAGAGTATACTTTTTTCTCACACGTCCACCACTCTCAT